ACTATGGTGGTTCCGTTTATTCAGTATCATAAGTGGTGTGGTAGATACAAATGCTGTTAAGCCATTTCTAGTTGTTATAGATGGATGAGACAGTTATTCCCACCCTCCTTAAGTCAAGAGTGCCATGTGACATGATTTGTCCAATGAAATGTCAATGCTGTGTCACTTCTTGGTGAAGTCATTTAAGAGCTACTGAGCAATTCTCCATGTTCTGTCCTCTTCCCTTTCAATGGTAATTGGGGAAGCCTATGTTGACTTGGAACTACTAAGTCAAACAGCATAGAATACTGAGCCAAAACATGGAAGGCAGTTGCTTGGAAATTCACACTTGCAGTAGTAGACATCTTATGAGCAAGCAATAAATAAAAAAGCACTGCAAATTTGTGGTTATTTTACCACAGTATGATCTAGTTTATTCTGAATGATGAAACAGTTTTGCTGCTATCACTCCTTCATTTCATGATCAATATTGATATTTTGGGCACAGGTTCCAGTTCTCGCTGCTCTACTTCCCGCCCAGCTCCATGCTAATGCTCCTAGGAAAAGCAGTGGAGGATAGTCCCAGGGTTTGAGCCCCTGCCACTCACCTAGGAGACCTGGAAGAAGCTCCTGGGGTCCTGGCTTTGGCCTGGCCCAGCACTGGACATTACGGCCATCTGGGGAGTGAAACAACACATAGAAATTCTCCCTCTCTCTCTCTCTCTGTCTCTGAAACTATGACTTTCAAAATCAACCAATCTTTAGGGAAAAAGTCACTTAAAAAACCTGAAAATTTTATCTAAAGATGTATTATTAAATTTATTTGGGGTGGTTTTCCAAATTCAGTATTACAGTGTGGGATGCAAATTTCAGCATTGACAACTATTGCTGGCATCGTGATGCATATTTGTGGTACTAGAAAGATACTCATTTTCAATTGAAGAGTTAAGAAGAGCAAGATTTTTCTTTCACCTTCACTGCCTTCTTCTATTCATACTATTTCTATTTTTTATTTCTGTATTAGAGATAATTTTTATGAATATTTTTGAATTCTGATTTTGGAGGTATTTTCCTCCTTCAGAAAATTTGAGATCTCAAAGTTGCTATTCTCCTCCTAATGCCTCCTCATAAGTTGTGCAGATTCCCAAATGGGACTTTTATCTTTAAGAGTGGCCTAGGGGGCCAGCGCTGTGGCATAGCGGATTAAGCAGCCACCGCCACCTGCAGCGCCAGCCCGGCTTCTCCACTTCCAATCCAGATCTCTGCTAATGCTTCTGGGAAAGCAGCAGGAGATGGCCTGAGTGCTTTGGCCCCACACTGGATACCAGATGAGGCTCCTGGCTCCTGGTCTTGGCCTTTCCTAGCCCTGGCCTTTGCAGCCATTTGGGGGGTGAACCAGCCATACTAAGATCTCTCTCTCTCTCTTTCTCTCTCTCTCTGTCTCTCTCTCTCCCTTTCTGCCTCTGCCTCTCCTCTGTAACTCTTTCAAATAAATAAATAAAATCTTTGTTAAAAAAGTCATGGTCTGGGGAAGACACTGTGGCATAGTGGGTAAAGTCGCCACTGCAGTGCTGCCATCCCATATGGGCACCAGTTGGAGTTCCCGCCGCTCCTCTTCCAATCCAGCTCTCTGCTATGGCCTGGGAAAGCAGTAGAAGATGGCCCAACTCCCTGGGCCCCCGCAGCTTTACGGGAGACCCGGAAGAAGCTCCTGGCTCCTGGCTTTGGACCAGCTGAGCTTTGGCCGTTGTGGTCATTTGAGGAGTGAACCATTCGAATGGAAGACCTCGAATGGAAGACCTCTCTCTCTCTCTCTCTCTGGCTCTACGTCTCTCTGTAACTGTCTTTCAAATAAATAAAATAAATCTTTAAAAAAAAGTCATGGTCTAAATGCATTTCAATATTTTATAATTAAATATAGTACTTAATGATTATTTAGCTTACTATAACCCAAACAATTCTGTAGAGATTAGCATTGGATTTATATTTAAATCATGTGGGGATGAGAATGAAGTGGTGAATAGGTAGACCTGGACCTGGTGTTGTCAGACAAGCCAAAAAGGAAGGGAATTTAAAAGACAGCGGATTTATAGATATATTTAATAATTCATTTTTGAATGAGTTGAAGAGGTTCAGAGGGGGTGCCACTCCAAAATGTGCCACTTTGGCATGTGTATAATTTTGAGTTAAATACAATCCAGAATCAGCAGAAGAAAATACTCCTTATTTTCCCCCAACTTCCTAAAATACAGCACAAGTTTTTTCTCTTTTGTAGAGGAAATTTACATTTATTAAGGAAATTTCCCTTAGTAAAAATATAAGTATCTGCAGCAGGAGGAGAGCTAATTTTTATTATCTACATAATAATATTTTACTGACCATCCCTACATTTCCTCCCCTTGCCTTCTCTTAATTTGCAGCATCTGTTCCCAGAAGCCTTAAACCCCTATCTCTTTGGATAGCTCGGGATGATATGCAACAAGATCATTTGGCCACCTTCTTGAATCTCATATTTTGTGACTCCCATTTGTATATGTGTAACTGAATATTGTTTTCTCCTGGTAATTTTTCTTAAATCAATTTAATTCTTTGAACAGCCAGACCTAGAAAGGCAGAGAAAGAAAATTCATCTTCTACTAAGTGAATGAGAATTCCACAGCTCATGCTCTTTATCAGAAAGGGGATTCTAGGGGATTCTAGTGTCAATTTCCATCCAGCTGAGTCACAGAACCAAAAAAAAAAAAAAAAAAAAAAAAAAAAACTAGAGCCCGAAGAGACCCTTGCAATATGAGTGCCCTATCAAATTTCACTCAGACACAAAGGAAATCAACTGATACTTCATTTGGCCAGATAAATACTAAAATATTCGTTGAGTAGTACTGTTTGACTCATTCTAATAGCTTTATATGTTGTTTCTTTTTTTTTTAAAGATTGATTTATTTATTTGAAAGTCAGAGTTACAGAGAGAGAGAGAGAGAGAGAGAGAGAGAGAGAGTTTTGTGCCTCTGCTCTCCCAGGAGCATTAACAAGGAGCTGGATTGGAAGTGGAGCCAGTGGAACTTGAATTGCCACCCACAGGGGATGCTGGCATTGCAGGCACTGTACCACAATGCTAGCCTCTATATGTTATCTCTGAAAATCCTTACATTAACACTATGAAAACTTACTCTTGGGGCCAGCATTTTGCCATACCAGGAAAGCTGCTGCCTACAATGCCAGCATCCCATCTTGGCACTGTTTTGAGTCCCAGTGTTTCCACTTCTGATCCATATCCCCGCTAATGCACCTAGGAATGCAGCAGTGGATGGCCCAAATCCTGGAAGAAGCTCCTGGCTCCTGGCTCCTGGCTTCTGGCTTCGGCCTGGCCCAGCCTTGGCCACTATGGCCATTTGGGGAGTGGAACAGTAGTTGGAAGATCTAACTACTTTTCAAACAAACAAAATGAATATTTTAAAAAACCCTTACTATTGGCCGGTGCCGTGGCTCACTAGGCTAATCATTCGCCTGCGGCGCCAGCACCCCGGGTTCTAGTCCCAGTTGGGGCGCCGGAGTCTGTTCCGGTTGCTCCTCTTCCAGTCCAGCTCTGCTGTGGCCCGGGAGGGCAGTGGAGGATGGCCCAAGTACTTGAGCCTGCACCCTCGTGGGAGACCAGGAGGAAGCACCTGGCTCCTGGCTTTGGATAGGCACAGCATGCTGGCAGTAGTGGCCATTTTGGGGGTGAACCAACAGAAGGAAGACATTTCTCTCTGTCTCTCTCACTGTCTAACTCTGCTGGTCAAAAAAACAAAAAAAAAAAAAACAAAAAAAAAAAAACAAAAAAACCTTACTATTATTAGCATTTTATTTATACAATGAAGGTTTAGAGAGGTCATGAAATTTAATTTCTTAATTATTTATTTGAAAGGTGGGGGGGGTGGGCTATAACTTTTAGTTATCTCTATGGGAGGCAAAGAGACAAAGAGATCACCCATCTGCTTCACATGGCCACATCAGCAATGGCCAGGTGGAAGCCAGGAGCTCAGTCCAGGTCTGTGGCTGGCAAGGATTGAACAAGTTGAGCTATCACCAGCTGCATCTCAGTGTGCACATTAGCAGGAAGAAGGGATATAGAAGGGAGCCAGCACCTGAACCCAAGTACACCAAGTACACGGATGTGGGATGCTGGCTTTTTTTTTTTTTTTTTTTTTTTTTTTTTTTTGATTTACTTATTTGCTTGCAAAGCAGTTACAGAGAGAGAGAGGAAGGGTGAGAGATAATTTTCATCTCTTGGTTCACACCCTAAATGGCTGCATTGGAAGCTAGGAACCAGGAACTCCATCTGAGTCTTCCACATGGATGGCAGGGGCCCCAGCACTTATCTTCTGCTGCTTCCCCAGGATATCCATTAGAGCTCACGGGCGATCATGGGATGCTGTCATGGCAGGTGGCAGGTTAACCCTCAGAGCCACAGTGCTGGCCCAGGATGTCGCTGACATCTTTATCACTACACCAAATGTCTGCCCCAAGTTACACAACTAATTAATGGCAGAGTATGCACTGCATTTGAATTCAGGCAGTTTAGTTACAAAGGCAGCTTTAAACACGTTTAAAATATGTTCCATCAGTACAAAAACTAGCGGTAATGTGCAAAACCCAAAATGAGTTGTTCGAAGGTGACAACTTCAGATGTCACCGAAATACTTTTTGCAGTTTTTTTAAAGCCATAAATACAAGACCACAACAAAGATATGAACGATCACAAACATCCTATATTCTTCCATTCTCCTTCCTCAAGGTCCTCACTGGCTTCCAAGTTCTGGGTCACATCCTCATCCTCAGCACTTCTTCTAAGCCCGGAGCTCCTGTCCTCTGAGCTCTCAAAGCTCTCTCTCGGCCCTGCAGCCTGGGTGGCCGGAGGTTTGGACTGCGTGTCCTTCCTCCGTGGAAGCAACCGCAGGGACCTGGGGGCGGGCGAGGACGCAGGTCTCGGCTGTGTTTACCGGGCTCGCAACGCTGTCCCTCAGCCCTTCCCCCCTAGCCGCAAAAGCTTCCTGGAAATGTCCTTGTTATCACTTCCCCCTCTAGGGCTGGGGGCTGGGAGCGGGCGGTCCCCCGCCCCCAGGGGTGCCTCCCCGGCGCCGGCGCGCCGCAGTCCACCCAGAGCAGTGCCAGGGCTCGCAGCTGCGCGCGCGCCGAGCGCTCGGGCCCCGCGGCACGCTCCCGCTCCCCGCCCGCGCCTCTGCCGCTTTGCAATGAGGGTTCTCGGGGGGCGCTGCGGGGCGCTGCTGGCGTGTCTCGCCCTAGTGCTTCCCGTCTCAGAGGCAAACTGTGAGTAACCCATAGCGTCTTGTCTTCACCCTCGGCCAGCACTGCCAACCGGGCTACGTGCGCTGGTTGGCAGGATTTTCTCCTCTCGGGCGGCAGCTTCCTCGGAAGTTTCCCGTATGTCCCCACAGCCACGCAGCTGACGGAGGCAGCCTCGGATCCTGGAGCCAGCGGGCAGAGTCCTGGTGGGACAGGGCCTTTTTTTTTCCCCCCTCCTCTGTGGAACTTAGGTGTTGCCTGAACCTGGGTGAACCTAAGAATCTAAAGGAATTTGGACACCTACCTGTTTCCCTGCTGCAGCCGCAGGTCCCAGTCATAGGGCAATGATGAGCACATTCCAGAGAAGAAAAGCAATCGCTGTTCCATCCCTTAGGACAGGCGCCTGCCCCCAGCCTGCACCCTCTCCTGCAACCAGCCTCCCTTTTGCAATTTCTGGACTTTGAGCTTGGTTTGCTTTTCTCACTAACATCGACAAATGTTTTAGTATGGCGGAAGGTTTGCACACAGTAGATGTGTTTTTATAACCTTAGAATGCAAAGATTGTTAAATATTGTTATTTCTCAGACCTTTCTGTACTGAAGATTTTGACAGTGCGTGCCACTAGTTTGAGTGTGCATGAATTCTTTATACTTTGTATTTTTATGTTCCCATGCCAGATCCGTGGCAAGATACTGAGTTTTCCCAGTATACAAATACAAAAGAAATGGCCCAGTTTAGTTGGCAGTTGATTTGCTTGCTTCCTAAAGTATGAGTATGTTCATGAACTAAAAATGTATCCTTATGCTATGTTTTATTCTCAGGAATTAGCATGGGAGACATTACTGTGACTTAGAAATAACTTTAGTCCCAAAGTAAGCTTTTTGATAGAAGTTTTGATAGAAGTTTCAGAAGTAAATACGAATTTACTAACATTCCGTTAGTTTTATGAATTAATGATCAAGGTGAATTAAATATTTTAAAATTCTAACTTAAGGGTAAAGACATTATTTGTTGATCTTATAAGAGCATTAAAGAACTCTAGCTGAAGAATTTCTTAAATCCCTATCATTAAGCCTGTGTGCGACTTCATGCACTCATTATCTAGCGTATAAGGAATGCCAAATTCTAGTATATTTGCTTGGCAGTCAGCCTTCTGGAGAGTGCAAACAGGCTAAGTGGTTTGAGCCCCTGCTGTTTGTCATCACAAGGATTTTCTAGAGCCTCTCTTTTTGTACATAATGTTACATTTTGAGTGAATCTGGAGGGGTAAAAATGACCTGTGTGTGTGTGTTATATAAATATATGTGTGTATAGAAGACATGGAGAATTACATATTATCTAGAGACATCTTTGGCATAAATAAATTAATTGTATGAGTATATCACAAAAAGGATAATTGATTCTTTAATGTCTGTCTAAAAATTTTGGTAACTTAATTGGATTACAAATCATGTCTTGATTTACTGATGAGAGAGATGGAATGTTTTTACTTAAGATTTTAAATTTGAGAAATAATTAGAACTCCATAATTCATTATGTCATGTGTAAAAATACAGTTGTGGTTCAAAGAAAAAAATTACAACTCACAGATTTATTACCAAGAGAATTTTTAGAAATCACCTAGTTCAAGTTCTCTATAGAGAAGTTGAAGATATTAACTGTCTTTCCAGATATCGCACACACACACACACACACACACACACACACGGGAACTTCAAAACAGTTGTGGAAAGTGAAATTAAAAGATGCTTATTTTTGTTCATGAAAATTTGACATCCATGCATGAATTTGCACTGAAATAAACATCTTTAATTACATTTTCCATAAATGTTTTGAAGTCCCCTCGTGTGTGTGTATGTGTGTGTGTGTATGTGTAGAGATAGAGATTAAATGAGAGAGAAAAGTGTGTATATTTTCAGTGTATACTATGTACATATTTTAATCATTCCTAATTAATGACCTGTAGTGAAGGAAAATAGGAAATGTCCATTTTGGCAGGTCCACTCTGGCTGCTAGTTTACTCCCCAAATGACAGCAATGGCCAGGGCTGGTCAAGGCTGAAGCCAGGAACCAGGAGATTCATCTGGGTATCCCACATGGGTGGAGGGGCCCAAGGACTTGTACCATCTTCCCCTGCTTTCCCCAGCACATTAGCAGGGATCTGGATTGGAAGTGGAGCAGCCAGGCTTCTAACAGGAACCTATGTGGGATGCCAGCATGGCAGGCAGAGGCTTTACGCACTATGCCACAGCACCTGTCCCCACCAGGACATCTTACAGGCCAAAATGACTGACAAGCAAGAGAGTCAAATGACTTTAGAGTTTGCTGTTTTTCCCTTGGTTATAAGTTTTAGTTGGTATTCATAATTCCTTCACTACCCATTTAATTTCCCCCAGGAAGTTGTTCATTTGGTTTGTGTCTGCACAGTGAGATGAACCACGCCCTTATTCAGCAAGAACCTGGCCTTCTTCCTACCCATGGATGTTCATCCATAGCCTCTCTTCTGTTTCTGCTATGTGTAATAGTCGTCATCCTGGAATCTTGGAGGAGCTAACCCTGAAGTCTATGTGGCAAAAAACATTATTTTGCCTTGCTTGTTATCATTTCAGTATCATCTTATTGTTCTATTGTTGATAAAGATAAAGAGCTCCAATTGTCTACACAGCAGTTTCAGCTTTGATTTCAATTGAACATATATTAAATATCCTGGTGAATTCATTCCTGCTTGGTTTCCAGATTTCTAGATGAATAGAACCTAGTTGGAAGGAAAATAAGTAAAAACATCAGACTAGCTCACTGTATTCACTTCCTAGAACCACCATAACAAGTATCAGACACTGGGTAGATTAAACAAGAAACATTTCTGATCTGCCAATTCTGGAGGCTACAACTCTGAGATCAAAGTGTCAGCAGAGTTGCTTCCTGTGAGGGGCATGAGAGAATCTGCTTCATGCCTTTCTCCCCGCCTCTGGTGGCCTCACACGTCCTTTTTCTCATGGATGACATTAGTCCTGTATCTTATCATCTTCCCTTTATGTTCATATGTTCCCTCCTATAAGAACACCAGTCATATAGGATTAAGAACTACCCTAAGGATCATCTTAATTTGGTCATCTGACAAGACCCTATTTCTAAATAGAATTGCATTCACAAGTATTAGTGTTTAGGACTTAAACATCTTTTTAGGGGACACGTTCACACTTTAAGTCATTAAGCATCAAATCATGATCAGTGTTTCTTCTCTTTCTACCTTCATTCCTCACCTGAGTGCTTTTGCTTTAGGAAAACAGCACTACAGGGCCAGACGTTGAGGCACAGTGGGTTAAGCCACTGCTTAGGATATCCACGTCCCATATGAGTGTGAGTTTGAAACCCATCTCCTTCACTTCTGATACAGCTTTCTACGAATGTACTAATGATGGCTCTAGTACTTGGACCCATGCCACCCGTTTTTGCAACTGGGTGGAGTTCCTGGCTGATGGAATTGACCATCCCCAACTGTAGCAAGCATTTGTGGAATAAGCCAGCGGATGGAAGATTCTCTCTCTTTCTCTCTCCCTCTCTCCCTCTTTCCCTCTCTCCCTTCTACTTCTTCCCCCTCTCTCTGTCACCTTCCTTTCAAATAAGTAGATAAATCTATAAAAAACAAGGAGGAAAATAGCTGTATATTGGTGATGGCTGGTAGGAAGAATGCCCCACTTTTTTTTTTTTTTACCAAACTTTGGAAGACAATATAATGTCTCAAAGGCCAGTAAGAGAGTCCTCAATAATTAGTCAGTTCATCCTTCCATATGACTAGCTCCTTCCAGGTATTAGGGTATTCGTTAATATCAGTGAAAACCCAGATTATCATCCTCTGATTTATGTCCTTAATTATGATGTGAATTCTGTAGTTAGAGGTACTGTTGTGTCTTAGCATAAAACACTGGCTGATTTTACCAGCAGTGATGCTGACAGAAAAATTAAATCCAAGTACAGAACAAATATCTCTTCCTCTGAGTACATACTGCTGCTAGCCTGTGATAGAAGAGCCCTAATTAACCAGCCCTTCACAAGGTGCGTTAGCAGGAGAGCGGAAATGGCAGTGGAGCAGCACTCCGGTATTAGATTCTGACATCCCAAGCAAGTGCTTAACCCCCTGTGTCCCAGTGCTGGCCCCCAGAAGCATCCTTAAACCAGAGAATTCTATTAGTTGAACATAGGTCTCTCTTTATGAGGCCATAGAAGGAAGTTGATGGAGGGGAAGAAGTGGAGAGAGTGAATAACCTGCAGACAACTTAGTTATTTCTTTAAGCTCTTGTTATTCATATCAGTGAATTACAGTTTGTGCTGTCAACACTATATTTTTGTCCAGATGAAAAGGTAGCATCTGCTTTAAGGTGGCCTATCCAAATCACATTATCAATAGAGAGAATTATATATATATATATATATATGTATTTGTATATATATATATATATATAATGTGTGTGTGTGTGTGTGTGTGTGTATATATATATCCCATTCACTGGTTCATTCCCCAGATGGCTGCAGTAGGCAGAGTTGGGCCAAGCTGAACCCAGGAGCCAGGAGTTTCATCCAGGTCTCCCACATAAGTTTCATTGGCCAAAGCACTTGAACTATTTAGACCACTGCTTTTCCCAGACCATTAGCAGGGGGCTGTATAGGAAGTGGAGTAGCTGGTATCTGAACTAGTGCCCATATGGGATACCAGCATTGCAGGGGATAACATAACCCACTAAACCACAAAACCAGCCTCTAATTTTAGTTTTGTAAGGTACCTACATACTACTCTCCATAATGTCTCTACTAATTTATATTCCCACCAACAGTGTATAACAATTTCATTTTCTCTACATCCTTACCAGCATTTGTTATTGTCTTTCTAAAAATTTTCATTTATTCATTTTATTTATTTATGAAAGAGAGAGAGAGGGAGGGAGGGAGAGAGAGAGAGAGAGAGAGAGAGAGAGAAACAGACAGAATGATGCAGATAGTTTGCCAGTTGCCCACAAGAGCTGAAG